ACTCACTCACTCACTCACTCACTCACTCACTCACTCACTCACTCACTCACTCACTCACTCACTTACTTACTTACTTACTAACTTACTAGGCATCTTGGTAACAATTAGTCCTTGTTGCTGACGCTACCACTGCACTACAAACAATGAGCCATTGTGGGTCAGTTGTGGATTAGGGCATACACAACTTTTCCTCATCCGATGGTTGCGGCACCCATTTGCCAATGCCATCTCAAATTTAGAAGTATATTATTATGACACAGCCACTGAATGAGCTCCTCTTGATATTCTAAATGGTATTGCAATTGTATTAACATTTGGATTTTTGCTTGAGCCCTGGGTCATTCTGCCAGCCTAACCTCACACAAAGCACTTTACACTCCAATCATTTATCCATTCACACACACATTCACACACTGATAGCAGTGTAAGCTACATTGTAGCCACAGCTGCCGTGCACACTGACAGAGACGATGATCATCAAAATGACTATCATCCACTCCACCTCATTTGGGCAAGTTTGATAGTAGTGAAATGATTATCTAGCAGTGGATAAATCTTTTATTTACAAATTAATTAAAATATGTCAACAACAGAAAACTGGACCATCCAGCCTTTTATGTTGGAGCCAGAGTCTGACCCAGATCAAGAGAAAAATTAAGACGACGAACCTGCAGAACTGCAGATTTGTGATATTGGTAAGCCCAAAGTCCATGACTTTGTTTAGACGTTCAGGAGCAAATACTGTGACATAATAGTTCAGAAAACATTTAAAGGAATGGAGAAAAATGAACAAACTGAAAAATATGACCCAAACAAAATATAAGATATCTATTAAATTCCATTTTTCTGAGCTCATAGAGACTCCAAGTACAAAACGAAATGTTTTTAAATGCTTAAAAAAAAAGGATTTTGCATTGTATGGCCCCTTAAAGGAACAGTGTGTGCACCAAAGCTAAATAATGATCTGTAAAAACCAGCACCAGGAAGTAGATGCTGCAATATGTGTCCATTAAAAAGATTTCATAATAAATTTTGCATCTGAGATGATCAAAAGTCCATTTGAATAATTAACTGCAATTTTGCTCTKCATTGCATCTTTAATGTTGTGTGTGAATGACAATAAAGCTGATTCTGATTCTGATTCTGAATCTTCTGGAAAAATCCAAGGTCAAGACGGGCAATACTCAAATGAGAGCATGGTCAGCAGCAGCCAAGTAGATATCTGGAACGATCGTCACGGTTAGATTTCATGCGCAAAGTAAATTTGCCTGATGATGGTCTTTGCTCACCCCTCCTCATTCACAAATGCCTCCATGTGTCCAAAATGCATGACTAATGTCTACAACCAGGAAAAGAAGAAAAGATGTGTAGAGGAGGCAAACAGCAACACAGACAGTGGTAAAGTAAAAGAAAAAATCAAGAAATTATTTCTGTGTTGCAGAAAGAGAATAACTAGTTGACTGTGGTTTGCTGATCAATAAGCAGTGTTTATACAAATTAGCCTGAGCTATGATGAATAGCAAATCTGTCAAATACAGTGAAACAGATAATTGTTAACAGTATGGTTATATGTGATTTGGGTCCTACCTCCCAGCATTAATTGGAGTGACCCAGAATAAGGCTCAATGATGAACCTGTGAACTTCTTGTTCTGAGGCAACATCACTAAGCACTAAAATGCCATGTTGTTTCTACAAATATAATTTCAAGAGCAAACCTTTCTGTTCCAAAAACAGGGTCCCAGCCTCAAATTTGGGAACCCATTTGTTAAAGAATGCAGCTACCCATTTAATAATGTTGACATATTAAAGGTTTTTTTTTAATTATAGAAAAAACACAATGTCGTGCGTGAATGGGCATAAGAAATGAACAAAGTTTTATCTGGATGCATTTTTAATTTGTGATATGAACAATTTAAAACCATGTCACAATGAAGAAAAATTCAAACATAACAAGCACATCCACAAATGTTCTAGCTACTTTATTTAAAATTATTACAAACACAAAATCTGCTTTCATATTGTATTGCGATTCCCATGCATCAATTCCATTATTRTATGATAGAAATGTGAAGTGATGATGCTGAATAATTATGTAGCAGTAATACAGTATCTTTGAAAGCCCTCAGAAAGAACTCAGGATGTGAGTGGCAGAATGAAATTTGTACAAGTTGTAAACAATAACAAAGTGCCAAATGATTAAAGTAAATAAATAAATTAGTTGTGGTTACATGAAATATACAATAACATGATTCTGTTTAAAATTTGACATTAAATTATTTTAAGAGCAGTTAAAGCAGATAAATGTGCAGTGAAAAATACAAGATCTTAAAAGGCCTACTTTAAACAATTACAATTACAAGTACTAAAATAAAAAAATGCTTATAATATAGCTAAAACTGCAAACAATTTACATGACAAATGCTGTGAAAGCATTTTGCTGTTCTACAGAAATTAGGTTTTTAAATAAAAATATACACACACACACACACACACACACACACACACACACACACACACACACA